AGTAGAACTACTCACATTTGATAGAGCTTATACTAGCTCTAGTGTAGTAGGCATACAGCGGTATGATCCCCGCCTCTGGGATATATGGTGAGCATCCTTGGTAGCAGGAGCTCGGAGAGAAGATAATAAAACAGCAATAGTGCTCTCAGTAAAATATTTCTGGGATATAAAGTAGAATAAAATATACTCACAGTGTATAGGGCAGACTGCTCTATGATGCGGGCACCTAAGGATTCTTTAGAGTATAAGGAAAAGTAAAAAAAAGGTAAAAAGCCAGGTAGTAGTAAAAATAATACAAATGTAAATAAAAGATAATGGTGCAAAAGAGTAAAAGGACCAAAATCTATTTATTAACAATAATTTAAAAGCTGTACAATATCCAAACGCGTTTCACCAATATAGGCTTTATCAATGGATTAAAAAACATTGCAACCTGGCTAGTTGAGGTACATATAGGCATGAGACAAATTGAAAATGGCGCCAAAACTGCTCTGACCAATTACAAAGCAGATTGTTATTACACATAAAAAACAGTTATATGTCTGTCTTTAAGAATCCATAAATATTGTGTGTTATGAAATATATAATGTAATTATAAAAACGAGTGATAATTAAAAGAATTTTCGGCATGTAAAGCCGAAACACGTGACGCGCGTTATAAGAGCGACGTTACTTCCGGCCGCTCGGTATTCTGGGGCATGTAGTTATTTGGCGAACTACATGCCTCAGCTACTGGCCAGCATCTTAATAGAGCCATATATTAGGCTCAGAGGGGGGTAGCCGGGGACCAAAGGGGGAGGGAAAGGGGACTTGCCGAGGATCGGCTAAGAATAGTTGAAAGGGGAATGGTTGTGCAGCTCACACCGGAGGGGTACAATCAACCAAAACCACAATATACATTACACTTAATGTTTATTATAATTCCTCATGATAACCCACCTAAAAACCTCCAGATCCATGCTTGTTCGAGAAATGTGCCCATGGACGGGTAAAAACCCCTACAGATATATTTTACACCATGATCTTCTTTTATGGTGGTTTTCTTGGTCAGAGTACTTATAATGTTGTACGTGTGGTCATCATCATTGGCCGTTTCAAGTCGTTTGTGAGAATATTTGGTAACATATATTTGCTGTCCATCCTAATCAGAAGACAGAAGTTCCGTTATGAGACCAGTGCCATCAGCAGCATCCACTTTCAATCATGTGACTTTTAATGATTGTGGCTTAAACCCAATGATGGTACAGGTGAGGGTCAAGTAACCTTCATGGAATATACACAGAGGAGCCATGATTCCAGATAACTTCGGAGGAACTAAATTAATACAAACACAGATTTAAATTACAGATAAATATTTAAGCTTTTTATGGTAGCCATCACTCACCCTGCCCAAAAACACTGGGTAGATAAACACATATTATTCACCAAATCATAATATACACATGTACTGTATATTATATATAAGGTCAATGATGAGGGGCATTGGTTGGTGAAGCCTCTTCTGTTGAGGGACGCGTGTGTCTCTAACCTTCCTGGAGATCTGTGACAAATTTCCCATGATCCTCCATCAGACGCCTATTCTTGTTTATCTGTTATATAAAATCCATGTAATGGGAATAGATTATATTTTAATTTAATTCTTACCTCCATCCAACTTCAGTACACAATATACGGAGATCAGTGCTTTCAGAGATGCATATTTCACTTGCAGAGATAGAAATGCATCATTATCTTCATTTATGTCTATAATTAAATAAATGGAACACTGGGAGCTTGAGGTATGGTTCATTTTATTGTTTTTATTTCAACAATTAGTTCCAGCTCCATTGGTCTCTGTAGCATAAGAACTGAGCTGCCATTACTAAGAGCATCTTTGTTTTGCACCACATCAATTTGTTATTTATTAGCATATTATATGAATGTTGTGTCAGTTGAACTTTATTTGTATCCATTCGTAGCTTTAAATTTTGATGCACAAACTTCCTTTGGCTTTTCAGCAGGTCTTTTCAGATATACACAAATATCAATTTCCTTTGGCCTAAAATTCACAATTTGACTGGAGAGAGTCAAATTAGACGTTGTATAAAATTCATAGAATATAAATACAATTTCATTACACCATGCAATGTGAGTTAAAAGCACATACAGGCACATATGTATCCAACTATGTCAACTGACTGTTGGCGGTGTCACAAAAACTAGGGCACACTTTGTCACATTTTTTGGGACTGTCCTGTTTTAATGCCCTTCTGCAATTTAATCAAGTAATTTTTATACACAACACTAAATGTCCCCGTACCTTTTCAGCCAGAATGCTTCTTATTACACTTAATCCCCAACTGGAGATGTTGCGAATCGTTCGCGAACTTCCCGCGAACGGCTCGCCACGGTTCTCCACGAACCGTTTGCGGCGAGCTCCGGTCAGCTGACACATCCCGGCCAATCTCCAGCAGACCCTCCCTCCCAGACCCTCCCACCTCCTGGACAGCATCCATTTTGAAGGCAGTTTCAACATGCATGCTGTCCAGGAGGTGGGAGGGTCTGGGAGGGAGGGTCTGCTGGAGATTGGCCAGGATGTGTCAGCTGACCGGAGCTCGCCGCGAACGGTTCGTGGCGAACCGTGGCGAGCCGTTCGCGGGAAGTTCTCGAACGATTCGCGACATCTCTATCCCCAACATTAAGACTATTGAGCATAAAGTAGTGGTGCTACATGTTGTACTTGCTACCTAGATTGCTTTGTAGCAAACTGGAAATCCATTCATGCTCTTTGACAGACTGGACGGGACGGGACTGGTCGGTTCGAAGAAATGGCGTATAGACTAAATGGTAAAGATTATGTTCAAATCTGAGGCACTTTTCCTTTAAATTATATTTTCACTAAAAATACTTTTGGGTATAATTAAACAAAATGTGCTGCTATCCTCCAACTGTCCCTCAGAAAATTCAAATATTGCACGTTTATATTAGTGAGTTAGCGCACTATATAGGATATAACTATATTAATATGAGTTTACGCACTAGATAAATATATACAGTTGCAAGAAAAAGTATGTGAACCCTTTGGAATGATATAGATTTCTGCATAAATTGGTCATAAAATGTGATCTGATCATCATCTAAGTCACAACAATAGACAATCACAGTCTGCTTAAACAAATAACACACAAAGAATGAAATGTTACCATGTTTTTATTGAACACACCATGTAAACATTCACAGTGCAGGTGGAAAAAGTATGTGAACCCTTGGATTTAATAACTGGTTGAACCTCCTTTGACAGCAATAACTTCAACCAAACGTTTCCTGTAGTTGCAGATCAGATGTGCACAACGGTCAGGAGTAATTCTTGACCATTCCTCTTTACAGAACTGTTTCAGTTCAGCAATATTCTTAGGATGTCTGGTGTGAATCGCTTTCTTGAGGTCATGCCACAGCATCTCAATCGGGTTGAGGTCAGGACTCTGACTGGGCCACTTCAGAAGGCGTATTTTCTTCTGATTAAGCCATTCTGTTGTTGATTTACTTCTATGCTTTGGGTCATTGTCCTGTTGCAGCACCCATCTTCTGTTGAGCTTCAGCTGGTAGACAGATGGCCTTAAGTTCTCCTGCAAAATGTCTTGATAAACTTGGGAATTCATTTTTCCTTTGATGATAGCAATCCATCCAGGCCCTGACGCAGCAAAGCAGCCCCAAACCATGATGCCCCCACCACCATACTTCACAGTTGGGATGAGGTTTTGATGTTGGTGTGCTGTGCCTTTTTTTCGCCACACATAGTGTTGTGTGTTTCTTCCAAACAACTCAACTTTGGTTTCATCTGTCCACAGAATATTTTGCCAGTACTGCTGTGGAACATCCAGGTGCTCTTGTGCAAACTGTAAATGTGCAGCAATGTTTTGTTTGGACAGCAGTGGCTTCCTCTGTGGTATCCTCCCATGAAATCCATTCTTGTTTAGTGTTTTACGTATTGTAGATTCGCTAACAGGGATGTTAGCATTTGCCAGTGACTTTTGTAAGTCTTTAGCTGACACTCTAGGATTCTTCTTCACCTCATTGAGCAGTCTGCGCTGTGCTCTTGCAGTCATCTTTACAGGACGGCCACTCCTAGGGAGAGTAGCAGCAGTACTGAACTTTCTCCATTTATAGACAATTTGTCTTACCGTGGACTGATGAACAGCAAGGCTTTTGGAGATACTTTTCTAACCCTTTCCAGCTTTATGCAAGTCAACAATTCTTAATCATAGGTCTTCTGAGAGCTCTTTTGTGCGAGGCATCATTCACATCAGGCAATGCTTCTTGTGAAAAGCAAACCCAGAACTGGTGTGTGTTTTTTATAGGGCAGGGCAGCTGTAACCAACACCTCCAATCTCATCTCATTGATTGGACTCCAGTTGGCTGACATCTCACTCCAATTAGCTCTTGGAGATGTCATTAGTCTAGGGGTTCACATACTTTTTCCACCTGCACTGTGAATGTTTACATGGTGTGTTCAATAAAAACATGGCAATATTTCATTCTTTGTGTGTTATTAGTTTAAGCAGACTGTGATTGTCTATTGTTGTGACTTAGATGATGATCAGATCACATTTTATGACCGATTTGTGCAGAAATCCATATCATTCCAAAGGGTTCACATACTTTTTCTTGCAACTGTAACTATATTAGATAAATATATATGCCATAAAAGAAAAAATATAACATAAAATGAAAAAATACATAAATACACTAGAACAATTATTATAAATCACACTTCTTGGTTTTGTATAGGAATTCCTATACAGAACCAAGAAGTGTGATTTGTAATAATTTTATTTCTCTAGTGCGTAAACTCAGATATTAATATGTTTATAGCCTATATAGTGCACTAACTCAATGCTATTTCACTTGGTACAGCTGAGAATCACTACATCTGAATGGTAAGTCCCCAGCACCGCAGGTATATTGGTTTATTGTTGTTTCTCCCCTTACATCGAGACAATCTTCACTTCAAGCTACACGTCATCAACCACCACCTACATCCTACCAGTGGGGGATCAATGCCACTGAATGCTATCCACACCTGAGCTTGGAATAGCTCTTAAATAGGTGAGTGGGAATACCATTGCTGTGAAGTTTCCTTTCGCTCTATTGTTTGATGCAGTGTACACTATTGGAGTTTTTCTTTTTCATTTACATATTCTAATCTGAACTAAGATAATCTGACTACTTCAAGATCCGCAGCACAAACACATCTATATCATATTTAAGCCCCGCAGGTCAAGCTGGTCTCCCACCTGCACGTTTAAAATCAGGACTATTGTATATTTCGATATGTTTTATTAATGTAAGTACACTACTGTATATTATATCATATTACAGTTTACTGTGGCGCAACCTATTTTTATTTTTACTGTTTACTATTCTCTTTGATGGTCTGTGAGGGAACCTCATACCCTTAGGTTGCGGCCCTACATTTATCTTAGCTTCCAGTTGATCATTTAGCGCTGATCCAGCAACCATTTATCCATATTGGTTTATTGGCTTACCCAAATATAAAAAAAATTTTACGTTACTTTACTTTTGTTCGTTACTATGGTATTTCTTTGATGTCTCTTAATAAACCCTTCTGTCACTTACCTGGGTCCAACACTTATGTCCCTTGGTGCTGGCTCAGCTCCGCCCACGCTCCGTCTGCCGGCAGGGGAGACCTAATGCAGATGAGTGGCAATGGCGGCAATCGCATTAGGATTTCCCCATAGGAATGCATTCAATGCTTTCCTATGGGGTTTCCAGTGATGCTGAAAGTCCTCATGCATACCTTGAAGACGTCCAGCTTTTTATAGACAACAAAAAGTCACCTTCAAGCCCGGAAGACTGTCTAGTGGCTGTGGTAGACAGCCACTAGAAGAGGAGTTAACTCTAGAAGGTTTATAAAAACTGCAATAATTACATGGTCAGGGTTAAGGGTGATGGGAGTTTTCACCCAGACCACGTCAATGAGCTGAAGTGGTCTGGGTGCCTACAGCGTCCCTTTAAGGTCATACAAACATATCTTCTTATTTTATAATTTATAACATTACACTCCGATCTATAATAATGATTAGATGTACATTTTAATCTATACCACATAAATCGGTTGGCATAAATTAAACTTCCTATTTACTTTCCGTTATAGTAATGGGTAAACCATTAGTAGCAGAGTAGGGAAAGTATACCTGGGGAAAAAAAACTTTTTTTAGACTTTTGTTTACCATTTCCCTGTAAGGTTACACAGATATTGGTTTCTTACGAGATTGTTAGCTTCCTGTTGGAGTGGTTAAACACCTTTTCAGGTTTTAACTTAGAGTTAGCACCAACGATACCTCCGGGGACCAGACAAACTGTCATTAATCATTAATGACAGTCGCCTTCCAAAGTTTATGTTTAAGAGGCTCGATGTCTGGTTATGTTAATTTTAATGTTGTCTTTTCCTTGCCAATGTAGTTTTACATAATGTGATTGTGTTATGATCCAGATGACGGTGATCAGAAAGTGAAAGCAAACCAAATGAATGACTCATGTTACATTTCTTCTACCTCCATAACTTACAAATTGGCAAATTCCTAGTTTATCACTCAACAGCAAATAACTTTATTAAACTTATGATCCAATTAAAAATTTATATTTCATTTATTCCATGAGCCAGCTGCTGGGAGCTTTTTATATGAAAACTAACCCTCATTACACGCATCATAATATTTAGAGCATGTACCAATACTCTCTTCTCTAAAAACAAATTCCGTCTAAACCATTCATCCCAACTAACACTATGTGCGGTGTATTTACGTGATTCACGCTTTCCCATTCTGCTTAAAATGATCGGATGTGCTCCAGGAGCAACACCGTCACCAATTTTTATAATAAGGGTTCTAGTTGCACTTGATCTATTGGTTCACAAGTTTTTAATTTTTAGTAATGTTTCTCAAATTTATGTTTTAATGTTCTTTTTACTATTGAAGTGTCTGTCATATGGAGAGATCTGAATTTGCCATGGGTTCTTTAAATATTGTCTCATATAGTGTGAGGGAACTTAATTCACCGGAAAAACACAATGTGGTGTTGAGGAAGTTTATTAGACTAAAAGTAGATATAGTCTTTATGCATTACACCCATCTCAGAGGATGAGATGCTCCAAAATTGAAGCATAACTAATTTTCCAAAATCTATTACAATAATTACGCAGATAGAAAACCTTGGAGTGTAAACACACTCATTGGAACGCATGTTCATTTCACATACAAAGCAAATGTCTCTGCTGACTAAGGCCAGTATCTCATACTCAAGTGTTTAGTAGCATCATTTCCCATAACCTTAGTGAATATGTACCTTCCAAACAAAAGGTCAACATGCTACATTTCAACGCATTATGAACACAGTTGCCCGACATGTAGAAAGAGGCCGGCTTCGATCTAACTCTAGATGCACAAAAAGTCAGCACTATACACAATCCTACCCACCTTGAATCCTCTAGAAAGCAGATATGTCATATACTCCACAATAACCAACTTGTGGACTGTTGGAGAATTCTGCAACAGTCATAAAGACCTGTCATTGGTTGCAGAAGTCTTAATAGGCAATATTACCTGGACAGACTGTTTACCTATTTTTCTCCAGTTTAAAATCGCCACACTACCATCCACACAATACCACTGGAAATGAAACCCAACTATTTTACAATACAAACAGGCAAGAGAGGCACATTTCTCCACTATAAAAACTACTTCCTTGAAACGAAAACCCCTGGAACTACACCCTTCCTACAATGGGAAGAGTACAAATACATCCTAAGAGGAAAACTAGTAATATGGGGCTCTTTCCTTAAAAGGGATAAATCTAAATGTAGACTACAACTTATGGATTAAATTAGAAATATAGAAGACATACAAAGTTTCCTTCTCAGAGGACGAGTATTGGAAACTAGTAACTAGCAAACTAGTATGCCCAAGTAATCGCTGTGGTAGTCTACTTGCCAAAGCTCTTAAACAGAAACAACAACAGACCTACATACCTAACACTGGGCTGTGTCTTATTATGTGAAAATTTCCTTACATGCTTACCTAGTGAGAGATATTTCCTTCTTCTGAAGCACGAGCCAGTGGTGTTATGTTATAATTGTCACAGTAGATTGCATAGCTTTGTCACTTAACTAATATACTCAATCTGTTCAGAATGACTCATGACTATGTCATCCAACACATATCACAATAGTTACTGCTAAATACTGATACATGTAGGCTTCTTGTTTATCCTTATTAACACAAAATGTGCAATGTTCTTGGTGTCACACAAACTATTATACTATGTCCAATGATATGCTTTCACCAGGTGTTGTGGCAGTGTAATCCTGCTTGTCTAACTTATGCACGAATAAAATAAAGATTTTTTTTTTTTTAAACTGTTAAAACCACCGAGGAAATAGTGGAAGCATTTAGGGAATTTTATCACGCACTCTATCATTTAAATCATACGTCTTCAGACAAATCAGCCATAACACAATATCTGGCAGATAAATTAGATCAAACTATCCTTCCAGCAGTTAGTCGATCCTTTGATCAACCTTTTACGAAAGAAGAGCTATAGACTTGCACTCGACAGCCAAACTCAAGGTTAATGGAAATGGTTCTGATCCCTTTACCACTAGTAACGGAACACGACAGAGGTGCCTGCTTTACCCTCTTTTATTTATTTGGGTTTAAGAATCCTTCTTGTGAGCAATTTGGAAAAATCCTTCTTTTAAATGTATGAATCTAGGGAAAAAAGGAATGTGAAGTTTCTGCATTCGTGGAAGACCTTCTATTTACTTTGGTAAACCCATCCCAGACTCTACCTCCTCTTATCGAGAAGATATTGAATTATAGCTCTCTTTTGAACTTTAAAATGAACATTGAAAAATGCTAAATACTTGGTCAAACTACCAGAAAGAAAATTAATCTGCAATACGAATATGCATTCCAATGGGCCAAAGCTCTATAACATATGTGGGGACTCTGCTTGCCAAAGATTTATATTCCATAAATTTCCCTCACCTACTCAGCTCCAATCTAAAAGACCTGGATATTTTAAATGGCTAGGGAGAATAAACATTATTGTGATTAATATTGTTCCTAGCCTATTATACCTACTAAACACCATGTCCTTCTCCATTCCTAGAAGGTTCTTGCAATCAAGAGATGGTGTATAATGGGCAGGATACAATCTTCCCCAGATGTAGCTCAAAAATATCTTCTTAGACTGAAACCTCTACAATAAGCCAAAATAAGGTCAAATATAGATAGTGAACAATTCTAACAATATTTTAAACATTCATTAATTGCACAAAACATAAAATAAATAGTATAAACCATACAGTAAATATCAGCAGCCCTTAGGATCCCAAACACAGTTTCCTTTGTTACAAGGCTCTACTCTCTCAAGGTTATTTACTAAAGTGAGAATTGTCAAAACAAAAAATGTCTAAACTAAGCAAAACTAAGGATCAGACGAAACACAACTACTGCCAGCCTGGGTACAACAGCAAGAATTTCCATCCACTTTGGATTCCAGACTGAGTGCAAGTATCATCTCGCGAACAGTGCTCACCCATCGGATTGAGGTCCGCAGTGGAACGCATTGTGCCACGCACGCCACCCTCACCTGTGATCAGAATTCAGAGGACAGAACTACTAACAGTACCCTCATCCATCCCAGTCTGGGACTAAGGTTTTCTTGCCATTTTTACCCTCAATAGACTAGTTATTAGACTGTGCATTGATTTTTACCTTTATTTTTAATATTTTGATAATACACTGGTTTTTATTTATCTATACTCCCAGTTGTTTCCCTCACTTTTATAGTGGTTTTAGCGATATACTTTTTTGCATTTTGCTTTATAGCAACCAGTTCCACATACTGGTTTGCTTTATCAAAAGTGGACATCTTTCATTCTTTTATTCCTATAAAAGTATACTATTTGGTACTTGTAAAAGATCCTGCTATCCGTGCAGCGCTGATCCTTGTAGCTTCACCCGAAATCCAAGCTGAAGTAGAGTAAAGTAGTGATTATAGCTCCCAATCCCCCAAACATGAGTCGAGACTTCAGGAAGGGGTAAAACGATCTGCTTTATTGATGGCCAAACTTAGCCCTTTTATGACGGTCTCTCAGCAAGGGAACTCCCACATGGGACCTTGTGGAAGACTGTGACAAAATATACAGAGCCAATCAGTTTACAACACAAAAGTTAAACACACCCACACTAACAGTGCAACCCCTCCTCTCTATCCTGGAGATAATTAACTTAAGTGGTGGAAGAGAACCTAATTATCTCCAGGTAGAGAAAAACATTTTTTTTATATATTTTCACAAAACAGTATTAAAATCTATAACTTATATTTCACCGAACGTAGACACTAAGTTCCACATACCCCCAGATAGCATGGATCTGAGCGCACACTATAGCCGAATAGCGATCAGATCCCACGAACACAGTTCTCAATATCATCGAGTGAAGTTTTAATTCACCGGTTGTTCGCGAGATTGAATCCGAAAAGACTTCCATAACTGTAGCTACCTGGGGTTGGTCTATCTTGTATAGTAGAAAAGTCCCGAACGGTAAAGTGTTCAATGTATTCATGAGTTTTTAGCCGTATGAACGGGAACATGGTACACGCCAGCGGTGTTCGGCTGAATAAGTGTCCGAAAATAGTTCCAGAGAATCACCGCCATCTACCGCTGAGCTTCGACGATTTTAAAAAGGCGACCACCAAGCCTTTCATCAATTACCCTGCGGTTAACCGCAAGGTCTGGGTGGTAAATAAGCTGCACACGACCTCAGTGGGAGGTCGGGTGATTCAGTAGTTTGTTCGGTTTATTGAAACTGCACGAAATAGCCATACATACGAATAAATAGCTGAAAGGCTGTTTCTCTGAGTCTGCTCAAACAGGGATTTCGTTACTGTACTGGTACCATTTACCCTGTGTTTTCTTCTTAATCAGGGATAAGGATACCTATACCATATATATTGCATTTGAACATATTTATGTTTTTATAACTATACTGACACTAAAAGATTATATCACATTTCTAATATTAATCCATGTTCTTAATTAGCTCCTGGATACTTTGCACTGTTTTATATAGTGCAACACATAATTCGTAACATAAAACATAATCCCGCCCAGGTGTTGCTGTGTCCTGGACACAGGAAGCCGAATACACAAAAAAAAAAAACACATAATACACAAAACACAATAATGTATCCCCACATGTCATACCTGTCACCGGTGGCGGTAGAATAGAAAACCAAAAAACCAAGAAAAACTAAACAAGAATTGTAAAAAGAGTACTGGATACCAGAAACCAAAGCTAGACATCTCTGCAGAACATGGCATGATGTGACAATACCTCCCTGAATAGTTTCTGGTCCCAGCTATGACTTCTGCAAATAGCGGAGCGATCGGATTTACAGAGCCCGAGAAACTGTCATGTAAAGTCTTGAGGCTCTGTACATCCCCGAAGTAGCTCCACAGGATTACTTGCTTTAGACCGGTGGATTCAACTTTTGCTCCTAAACCAAGCAGCAACCAAACAGGCGTGAACATGCAGCGACCAATCAGCACTCAGGGAGGGGAGGAGTTACAAGGTAAGCCCTCTAACTCGCGCTGGCCAATCGGGAAAGGCGTGAAACAGTTTGAACGGTAGCTTCCTTTCCCACTGGTCAACACGGACTTCCAGTCGGCCAGCGGGACTCTGCAGCTGTAAGGCCAAACCATAGCTCCAGAGGGTCGGCCAGGGCTCACGTTTCTCTACGGTGGATTTCTACGCTTAGGAAGCACTGGAGAGAGCGTTCTTCAGGCAGTTACTAGCCCGGGCACGTTGCTCCCGGGTGGGCAAGAAAGGGAAGCAAACAAAGGGATAGAAGTGATGGCGGGAACACAGTTTTGGTGGGTTGCGGGACTAGGAACAATTACAATCCATTTAATACAGAGCTTTTTTTTGCCAGAGAGGTCTGTAACATTATTTTATAAACTGTATATTACAGTGAGTTTTTCAATATGTATTTTATTGTATTTTGCTCAAATGTGTTACTAATGTCTGTATATTCACCTAAGGCACTAACCTTTCCCGGTCCTGGTGAGAATACAATCTCCTGCCAGATAAATGAAAATGAGCACCAACATTGATAACTAAATAGCTGCTGCCCCTGGATATCATCAATTTTAATATAAACCATTCTAAAACACCAACATGTGACACAGAGTTTCATTTAGCCATAAAAATATTTTTTTAACAAATCTTGTCACAAATATACAAAAAAGTTAAAGATGATCTTTGTAGAAAAGGTCTCCAGAGTGACCAGAGTTGCATCTGACTTGTTCATCATTATAAAGTCATCAAATTATATAAGACATTATTAACAAACAGCAAACAGGTATGCTAAGAGTTTCAAATTTGAGGACAAAATAGTTCAAGTGGAAAAATTCTCCAAGTCAGCTATTCGAGTTCGACAGCTTTCGCATTAAATTTTACATTTATTTTGAATTCTCACTTTTGTGTATTACCCTGTTGAAAAGTAAATAACCCTTTCAATCACAGAGAGTTCTTAAAGAGCCACTTCAAGGCCCTAAAGCACTGATGTTGCTCATTGTTAATTTCTTTATAAAACTAATGTTTAGATTGTATTGTGTGTTTTAGGTTTGTGTTTGTTCCATTGGTTTGTTTCATGTTTCACAAAGTATGTATGAGAAATCTTTTATCTGCCTGGAGGCTTTCATGACAAATGTTAAAGGATCACTATAGGGTCAGGAACACAAACATGTAATCCTGACCCTATAGTGTTAACACCACCATCTAGCCCCCCCCGACTCCTCATGCCTCCATAAATATAGTACAAATCTTACTTTATTCAAGCCAGAAGCTGTAAATCTGCATGCTGTTAGACTCAGAAAAACAAACAGTCTGCTGACATGTGGTAGCCTGATCCAATCACAGTGCTTCCCTATAGGATTGGCTAAGACTGACAAAGAGGTAGATCAGGGGCAGAGCCAGCATGATTCAAACACAGCCCTGGCCATTCACCATCTCTTCAGTGTCTGCATGCAGAGGGAGGAGATACTGAATTACAGGATGCTGTGCACAGCAGATCTGAGTGGATGGAGGCATGTTATGCCTCCATCAACTCCAAAGTCCCTCTGGTTCACTCTGAGTGACTGCAAGTGGAGGTGTTCCTAGCATTCAATGTAAACACTGTATTTTCTCAGAAGATAGTGTCCCTTTAAATAAATAAACAGCTGTTCTCAGAAGCCATCTCAGTAGAAAAATATTAGAGGGGCCTGCTACCATTTTGGTTTATGGTGCAATATTAAAATATATTAATATAATAATTTTTCTTCGTGTTTGGATACATTTCTCCGGCATTGAATTTGCCAGAAGATCGACAAACTATATTATAGGTAAACCCATCTGTACAATCCTGGTAAAATCATGTTGATTGAAAGTTGTCTTGTGTGAGTGTGTTCGCACTGTATGTTCATAGTAAAGATTTCAGTGGGTTTTTATAAGTAGCACAACAGCTCCGTTACTCTCCTACTCTGTCCATTGTAATATTTAAAGAGGTATCAGTTCTGATGAGTAACCCAAGACTAATGTCATTCTTATATACCGGTTTAGCATCTCATTGATAGAACAATCATTTCAAGACAGTTTAAGAACATAATTTTCTTCAATAGTCTCATAGTTAAAGGTAGCTTCAAATCGGATCTGACATTCAGTTTCGGATTTGTTTGGTTTAAAGGTAACTTCAGAGATGCAGCCAGAGCCATCACTTGTGTTGAATGTTTTTATGTTGCCTTCTATGGGGAACATCCCGTTGTACCAAGAGAACTCTCCATTTTTTACATCCTGTCCGTTAATGTAACATGCTAACACGACATCTTCTCCAGGTCTGGGATTTTTGGTCTTACAAATAATTCCTCCTGAACGTGGCTTTTTGCCTTCACCTATATAAAGAAAGTAACACTGTTTTTAAACATTATTAAAGGATCACTATAGGGTCAGGAACACAAACATTTATTTCTTACCCTATAGTGAAAACCCACCATTTAGGTGGCTTGGCCCCCCCCTGGATTTTTTCATTTGTTCTCGTGCTGTTATATTGCCACCTTCTGGCCATATGATAACCCATTTATCAGACTGCTTTATAAAAGTTGCGTTTTATCTATATACTTATAGGCTAAGATACTCTGTTCCATTCCCATTCTACTCTAGTTTCCTAAAGGGATAAACCATTAATGAACAGTTTCATCTCAAAGTGCTCCAGACACTGCTCCTCATTTAGACCCCTCTGCCCCTTCCTCTATAGCTAAAGCTTCAATACAGAAGTCTTGCACTGGTTGCACGTTATAGGCTGACACTCTCAGCGGACTGGCCTCGCATAAAGAATGTATGTAATACGACCAGCAGGGAGATTCTAGACTGAATGAAAGCATGAAGAGGTCTTAATTAGCAGCAAGATAACTGAGGGCCAATCTGTTGCTACCGGACGGGAATACTTGTGCTGGCTGGTGGTAGTATTATTAGTATTTACTCTATAAGTTATATCCATGCATACTCTGAAATTATTCTGAAAGGAGTATAAAAACTGTCATAAAATGTAAAAAATGGGACTATCCCAATATGGTTAATGCAACTACCTAATTTGGCACAATTTGATTTCTTGGACCTCCGTCTTCCAAAGGTCCCTAACATACAAATAAAATGTGAACAAAATAAAAATATGTACCAAATATTAATCCTCTGCTTTATTTATACTCACACATATATAACTTATTATACTTGATACTTATACTGATACTTGCTTATAAATCTGTACACAATGCTGCTCCGACCTATTATCCTCACTAATATCTAATATCCGACCTACTTATTCTCAAAACTCTCTGCGGAGACTTATGTCAACCTCTGTTCGTACTTACCTCTGATGGTCGCCTTAAAGACTTCTCGAGGGCTGAACCGTTCCTATGCAATGCCCTTTCCGTCTCTGTTAGACTTTCACCCAGTTTCCACTCCTTCAAAAAAATCTCTGAAAACTTACTTCTTTAGGAAAACATATTAATTAAGCTGTGAACAGCTTTCCCTCCCCGCACCGATTCCCTCCTGTCAACTGTCATCAAAACACTAAGCCCTCAATGATACTATTCTAGCAACCTACTTTTCTATTATTATTTTTATTATTATCTATTATTTATTAGCGCCATCAGATTCCATAGCGCTGTACAATGGCTACCACACCCTTACCTTTTGTGTCATATACCCCACTCCCTCTAGCATGCAAGCTATTGAGCAGGGCCCTTAATTCTCTCTGTTCCTTTTGGTTACAAATACATGCCTGTTAGTCCACCCATTGTACAGCGCTATGGAACGTGTTGGCGCTTTATAAAGAATATAATAATAATAACATTAATGTTCTTGGTTATAGCAAGTTTCTAATGTGTAAAACACAAACATGGCAAAGCTAGCAAGGTCTATTACATCAATATTTCATAATAACAGTGATGGAACTCCTGTGTTAAATAAAGACACCAGAGCTAATTACTTACATTGCAGGGAATAGTGTTAAAATGTAACTTTTATTAGAAACTATTTAAAATGCATATAACAGCATAAGTATATTATTTGATTTGTGTGATACTGTAAATGTGCTTAATTCACATGTGTTAGAAAAACAGCGAACACCTCAAAGTCACAATCGTAGATTTTAATACGTTTATTCTCAAAAACTTATTTATGCCACTGGGAAGCATGAACTCTCTGTATAATTACAAAGAAACACAGCATTGGTTAGGAATGGAACAAATCCATTGAGCCGCTAACCCGAGTAATGACGGGTTGAGATATACAAGCCTACCGTCATGAAGGTCGTTTTTAAAAGAGGAGAAAGGCCAAAAAGACTCTTTATTAATCCTTTTATAACAAAATATAATTTCATTGACGTTTAAAATTATATTATTAATTTTTCCCCAAAACAAAGTTAAACAATGTAGTATGATATGTTTCAAAATCATTCCCCAAATAGATAGTAATAAATATATGAATAAATATATAGTGTATGATGTAAGCAACATATGGATGCCACAAGCCTGCTTAAATCCTAAACCCTCTATTGTTGGATACTTATTTGCAAATTCGTCCCCCAGTGTGCAAAATGCCATTAGTAAATAAACCTTAGGGAAGCAATGTAAAAACTCAAATAAAAAGAAAAACTAGTATTGACTTAAATAAGAAAAATGAAAATGTGGCTCCATTAATTAAAATAAAGAGATGCTTGAAAAATAAAAATATCCAAATAAAAAATGTAGTATAAAAACCACCATATTAGAGGATATAATGAAATATGAAAGAATAAATTATTATGCATGGAAAATACACACAGTAAAGAAATAATTAAATGAAAAAAATCGGAGAATAAAATTGTTAAAGAAATCCAGAAATCTGTATACTTAAATAGCAAATGTTCTAAGTTGATTGAATCCAGAGGCTTTCCCCGTTGTCTCAGAAATCTGTCATAGTTACCCCTACGTTTATCCTTGCGCACCAAATTCCAATCCACAGAACCGGAGTCCCTGCGGATTGCCCGCATGGAAGTCTTTCAGGTGACGACCTATGGGAGTATCAACAGGTAGTTTTGGAGATCTAACATGCTCCGTAATGCGCTCCTTAAACGGTCTGAAAGTTTTTCCTACATATTGTAGCTTACAGGTGCATGTAAGGAGATAGACTATATCAGCAGTATTGCAATTGAAAAAGAATTTAATCCCAAAAGTCTTTTTACCATCGCTATCCATAATAGACTTAGAGTCACGTTTGATGTATTTACACGCGACACAATGGCCACATTGGTATGATCCCACTGTAGGGGTGTGTAGCCAGGTGCGTGTGGGTGAACGATGGAAATGGCTTGGGACTAAAAGGTTCCTACAGTTTTTGCCTCTACGTGCCGTCATATCCACATTTGGCCCTAAGAGCCTTTTAAGGTGAACATCATCCAGCAGACACGGCCAGAATTTTTGGATCTCAAACTTAACAGCCTCCCAGCCTGAATCGTAAGTGGCTATCATCCGTGGGGCTTGAGGTTTGATGGAGGTATCCACTATTTTTGGGGATAGTAGAGTGCCTCTGTCTGCCTCTAAGGCCCTTCTATAGGCTTTTTTTAGGCATTTATTAGGATAGCCCTTCATTTTGAACTGTTGTCGCAATATGTTAGCTTGAAGCTTAAAATCCTCAACATCGCTGCAGTTCCTACGGGCTCTAAGATATTGCCCCATCGGAATGTCACGTTTAAGAGATTGGGGATGAAAACTCTCCCAACGAAGGAGACTGTTAGAAGATGTGGGCTTTTTATACAGCGTAGTGGTGATGGAATTACCACTGTACCATGATCGAAAGGTCCAAGAAATTAAGTGTATTGAACTCCGAAGTATTGTTAAACTCATTGATATTGATAGGGATACAAATTCATCAAAAAGTTCTCTACTACCTGTCCACAAGATCAAAATATCATCAATATAACGGGCCCAATGATGAATAAAAGGCCTGTATGATGAAAAAACATCAGATGCCACAACTACTTCCTCCCACCAACCTAGGTGGAGATTGGCATACGATGGGGCACAAGCCGTCCCCATCGCATTGCCCTGTACCTGATGGTAGAATTTTTCATTGAAGAGGAAGTAGTTGTGGCAGAGGATAAACTCAAGAAGTTCCAAGACAAAGTTAGAGTGATCATTAAGGTCAGAACCCCTTTTGTCCAGGTAAAATTTAACATGTTGAATGCCCCCCTTGTGTGGTATAGATGAGTATAATGCTTCAACGTCAAGACTACAAAGTGCCACTGTTTCGGGCACTGTTAGACTTGATAAACGAACCAAAGTTTGCTTGGTGTCCTGAATGAAAGAAGGTAACAATTCCACAAATGGGCGGAGAACCTTATCCAGATAAATACTACCATTTTGGGTAAGGTTGTCAACACCCGAAACTATGGGGCGCCCAGGGGGATTATGGCTTTTTGGCTTTGGGCAGCAGTAGAAGGTAGCTATCCTGGGGAATTTATTCAGGATGAAATCATATTCATCTCTGGATAGCACCCCTCTACTGCGGCCCATGTCCAAAATTGCTTTGTAGTCCTGTAAGAATGTATTGGTGGGGTCTGTTCTGAGAAGATGGTACGTATCTCTATCGTCAAGAATCTTGAGAGTCATTTTTATATGTCTGCTGAATTCAAAATGGCTATATTCCCTCCCTTGTCAGCCGGTTTGATCGTAATTGTGGTATCCAGTTTTAAAGACTGGAGGGCTTTGTTCTCAGATTTTGTAAGATTCATATTGGGAAAGAAATTCAAATCCTTATGATTGATGTTCTCTATTGCAAATTTGACTGAATTCAATATTCTTAAAATTCCCCAGATTAGGTGTAAAGCGACTTTAAGGTTTTAAGTTTGTTTGTTGTAACGTGGTATTTGTGTCGCTCTCATCCAGGAGAGATATTAAAGTCATAAGACAGTCATAGTCTTTGTCAATGAGACCCAAATCTTTTAGCTTTTTGTCAGTTCTGATTTGATGATATTTACACAAGGCTAACTTTCTAACAAATAAATGTAGGTCTTTAACCCATATAAATCTGTTAAAGGGCGGAACCGGCACAAAAGAGAGGCCCTTTGAGAGCACATTTGTTTCTTGAGTAGTGAGGAGATGAGATGAAAGGTTGATTATTTGTAAACTATTATTTAGAATCGCCTTCTCCTTGTTGCACTTCTCCTTGTTCACTTTATTTTCTATTTTAACCACACTGTGGGGCTTATGTTTCCATGCCCCAATTTATTATTCTATTCATATAATTTTGAATATCCCTCTAATGTTGTTTTCTCTGGGCTCATTTTATTTACTACATGATAGAGTTTATTAAGACATACCAAAGGTCAAAGGATCTTAACATGTATAGCTTGGAGGAAAGACGAGACAGGGGGGATATGATAGAAACATTTAAATATATAAAGGGAATCAACACCGTAAAGGAGGAGACTATATATTTAAAAGAAGAAAAACTACCACAACAAGAGGACATAGTCTTAATTTAGAGGGACAAAGGTTTAAAAATAATATCAGGAAGTATTACTTTACTGAGAGGGTAGTGGATGCATGGAATAGCCTTCCAGCTGAAGTGGTAGAGGTTAACACAGTAAAGGAGTTTAAGCATGCGTGGGATAGGCATAAGGCTATTCTAACTATAAGATAAGGCTAGGGACTAATGAAAGTTTTTAGAAAATTGGGCAGACTAGATGGGCCGAATGGTTCTTATCTGCCGTCACATTCTATGTTTCTATGTCTATGTTTCTAAATATTCTGTGAAGACCAATTAGTCTAAGTTATATAGTTTTGTGCTTCCTCTTATTTATTTTTTTTGCTACCCCCCTTCTATTTTGGTGTATATAAACCTGGGGATTATAATAGATGGTGGTCTTTCTTTTCTTCTCCCTTGCTTTTCTCAGGGCAACCAAGAATAAAAATTCAAAACATGGATCCAAAGAGAAGATTCACTAATCCAGCTCTGTAACTCTTTCCGCTCTCCTACCCCTCAGTTGGCTTTGATGCAAGAACCAGTCAATTAGACATGAGTCCAACACCCAGCTCTCAGAGCTATCCCAGGGCTTGTTAGAATTTTAGCAAGTTATTAATTAAATTTCTTTATTTGCTACTATTTATGGCAATTCTGCCACACACATACTTATAGCATTTCTTCTGACCATATTACTATTATTATTATTATTTTTGGACTAGTCGATTCTATCCAATTAGATCCTAATTTTATTACTTATTTGTTTAGTATCTGTGTGTTTCTCCCCCAAGAGGGATTAATAAAGAGTTTTTCGTTTTTTGCTCTCTGCGCTCCACTTTTATATTTATAATAGCAGAGTAGCTTTTTTCATATAAGGATACAAGGTCTTTTTGGGAGGCAGATTGTTTATAATCTGCAACCCATTAGTCCTATTTTCTCTCCTCTCTGTATAATTACATACGTTAGTTTCCTATTGCAACTTAAAGGACCACTCTAGGCACCCAGACCACTTCAGCTTAATGAAGTGGTCTGGGTGCCAGGTCCTTCTAGGGTTAACCCATTTTTTCATAATTATAGCGGTTTCAGAGAAACTGCTATAATTATGAATGGGTTAAGCCTTCCCCCTAATCCTCTAGTGGCTGTCTCATTGACAGCCACTAGAGGCGCTTGCGTGCTTCTCACTGTGAAAATCACAGTGAGAGCACGCATAGCGTCAAAGCATTGTAAATGCTTTCCTATCTTGACTTTTATCTTGGCGCAGCCTGCTTGCGTAGCGTCGCGCATTCAACCCGGCGAGAGCTGTCGAGGCGGGAAGGGAGGAGGAAGCTCCTCGCCCGGCGCTGGAAAAAAGGTAAAGTTATTACCCTTTCCCCTTCCAGGAGCGGGAGGGGGTCCCTGAGGGTGGGGGCACCCTCAGGGCACTATAGTGCCAGGAAAACGAGTATGTTTTCCTGGCACTATAGTGGTCCTTTAAGGGTCATTTACTATAGTGAGAATTGCTGGAAATTCAAAGTAAATTAAGGTCAAAATAGCCAAATTGGAACAAAATCTCCAATCAGCTATCCTTCCAGTTCGGCTACTACACTTTTAAATGTGAAATTCAGTTTGAATGCCTGACAATTCTTACTTTAGTAAATAATCTTGTAAGTATATATAGGATCTTACTATAATTGTAACACCCAGTGGTTTCCTAGCAGATACTAAAAGAGACACTATAGGCACTAAAACAACCGTAGCTTAAAGGATCACTATAGTGTCAGGAAAACAAACCAGTCTTCCTGGCACTACATAATCCTAAGGAACCCCCATCCTCAGGCCCCACCCTCCCGCTGGGCTAAAGGGGTTAAACCCTCTTCAGCCACTTACCTTAATCCAGTGCCGGGCTCCCTTTGCGCTGGTGGCCTCTCCTCCCCCTGCCGTTGTCAGCTCACGAGTGGAGCCGAATGCGCATGCGCGGCAAGATCGGTGCGCGCATTCAAACAGTCCATAGGAAAGCATTTTTCAATGCTTTCCTATGGATGTTCTGCACGCTGGATAGCCACTACTATCCCAAATCCAGTAATACAACTCTAGTCCAGACATCCCAACTTTCAAAACCTCATGCCAGTTGGGATGTCACTAATCATTAATTACGCATAATTATAGATATGATCTCATTACACATTGGTCTAGTTCTGACATCACTAATCGCTTATGATGCATTATTTTAGTAATAATATATTTACTCTTCGATTTTAATGGTACTACTGCCTAGTTCTGGCATCAGTAAATTGCTGTTTATTATTTATTATTATTATTATAGCTTTGACATCACTACTCAACGATTAGAAGGTATTACAGTCTAGATATGACAAAACAACTTATATTCTACATGTTAGACTATTTCTGGAATCAATAAATTATAACAGTATAGTTCAACATGATTATTTGTAACTTTGGTATGACATCACTACTCATGTACTCTAAGCTATTAGAGTCTAGTTATGTCATCCACATCACTTCTCATTGGCTACAGATTATTACAATATAGCTCCGACATGAATATTCATATCAATGATTATAGTCTAGTGCTGACATCACTGTTCATCTACTATGCACTATTACAGGATGGTTCTGACATCACTGCTTGTTAATTATGCATTATTGCAGTCTAACTCTGACATCACTACCCATAGATTACAAGCTTTTACAACCGCTGAGGTCACTGCTCATTAATTATAAGGTAATACAGTCTATCCATGACATCATTGCATTGTTCTGTAAGAAATACCTTATCATGCAATACATGCATTGTAAATATTAAATTAATAACTAAAACACAAATGTGGGAAAGCATAGTAACCTACCTTTCAACTTATAGTATTTTTCTTGCCTTTTCTTGTTGGACCCATGAATCACTTCACAACGAATCTGTTCATCATTCACTTTTGGGGTATATTTCAATGTACTTGTACAGCAAAATAAACCGCCCTTTCCAATTTTCTGTTCCGATGTTATAATATTTTCGGTTAAGATCTGGAACCCTTTAAACCATTTCACTTCTATGTGCTTTGGAGCAAACCTGGATATATTGATTGTAAAAGTAGTTTCTGTGTTGACTTCAGGCTTTAGTGGATAAACTGTGATCTCAGACAAAGTAGGTGATATTTCTGGAAGAATAAATATAGAAATACATTGGTTGTACAATGGAAAATGTATCATATAAGGGTTTTGTAACAAGTAAACCTTGCAAACGTCTGAATCCACTGTAACTAAATTTGAACTTATTTTTAAAAGTTAATTATATTTAAAGAAACTTAATGATGTACATTTTTTTTCTGCAGAAATCTTACTTTATTTGGCAGAGCCACCATGTTGGTTTAAACTCCACTGTTATCTGATCAACTGCTGCTCATCCTAACCTGGTGCTGTGATTGCTCTACGTGAACCTGCAGATAACACTAGAGTCTGGCCCACAATGGCAGTTCATCCAAATAGAAAGAGACATGTTAACATTAAAAAATTAAATGACGTAAACAAGGCTGGCTTCAGAGTGACAGGCTCTTTATTGCTAGCACTGTCAGAGTGGGTCTTTCTGAGTTCTCAAGCTTAATATGTGTGAAGGAATACCCCATCACCGTTCGGCTATTTGCACTCCCTGCTATTAACTTTCCCCAGGCATTCGTTCTTTTCCAGTTACATTTGTTTATTTGTTTGTTTCCCGAAACCGAGACCACTCTGGGACTAATTAGAACGTGGAGCACCATGTATCAATTCGAAAACCGCAGACTAATTGAATGCTCCTAGGTGCATACGAACGCACGTGGTGAGAACAATGGACGGCAGCCATCTTGTCTCCCGAACGCGGCCAGCAGGACTTGGTCGTCTAGTGCCTGGAACGGTTTTCGGCTACACACTTGCATGAACACCGGTCTCTATGGAACTCTGCTACTTTCTAATTCCCAGCACTTTAGACGGACGGCGTTCAGAAGTTTCAAACTACTGAACACGAGGAGCACGAACCAGATATATTCCATCTATTGCGGTTTTCGTACTAAAGCCCCTGAACGGAGGCCGGCTCTTGCTACCTTTCCTCTGGAACTGTTTCTCAGCTTCGACCTCGTGGCAGAACGGTCAACTCTCTTTGGTGCCGTTCGGGAACTACCGAACGGATTGGGCTGAAATTTGGATATGTTGCTCCCACAGAGACAAGCTACCCAGATATGTGACTTTTGTGGGGTTTCTATGTAGTTCTGGGGTATTTCTATAAAATGTAAAAAGTTTAACTTTTTCTGACCAGGAGTTTAGTATTTTCTCAAAACTCAATTTTCTCGCTGGCTCAGAGGAGGAGTTAAGTGATGTATACATTGGATGCCTGTTTTTCCATTAAACCAGTCTTGTCCCAGCATTACTTTTTATGGGAAAAGGGAATGCAGGATGGTGATACCTACTCAGACTGTCACAATATGGTTGGCCACAAAGATAATTATGGTACCCATTGAGACCTCAAAGCCCAACTTTACCCAATTTTAAATGCAATGTGTGGCTGCTTATCATCCTCCCTGTGTGGTCTATGCTCAACTTCTTATTCACACGTGCCCACAATGAAGATGTTGGTTTTTTTTAGGGGGGGCGGGGGCTCATAAAATGAAATGAAAATAAAATGTTTCAGACATCGTTGGGGGCAGGTATTTTTCTTTTTTCTTTTGTAGTCATTCAAAATGAATAAATACAGACAAATCTTTATAGTGATGCTGTGCCTGTAGTCCATACATTGAGCTGGTAACATTGCAGATTTAAAGACACTCTCACTTACCCTTCAAGAAAATATCCTTTTCACCCATACAATCAGTGGTAATTTGGGTAGCACAATTTAAAAATGTAATTGCATTATTTTTTACATTGCAGATGTTCCTTAAAGGGACTCTCCAGTGCCAGGAAAACAATCAGTTTTCCTGGCACTGCATGTCCCCTCTCCCACCTCCCATCCCTGGTTGCTGAAGGGGTCAAAACCCCTTCAGTGACTTACCAGAGGCAGCGACGATGTCCCTCGCCGTGTCTTCTTGGTCCGCCCACGTTCACCCCCATCCCCACGTCAGACTGATCCCACCTGCTGGTGGGGGGAGACCTAATGCGCATGCGCAGCAATGCCGCGCACGCGCATTAGACCTCCCCATAGGAAAGCATTGAAAATAATTTCAATGCTTTCCTATGGGGATTTTAGCGATGCAGGAGGTCCTCACATAACGATAATCTGTGATATAATCCCGGAAGTGCCCTCTAGTGGCTGTCTAGTAGACAGCCACTAGAGGAGGAGTTAACCATGCAAGGTAATTGTTGCAGTTTATAAAAACTGCAATAATTACAGTTGCAGGGTTAAGGGTAGTGGGAGTTGGAACCCAGACCACTCCTATGGGCAGAAGTGGTCTGGGTGCCTGGAGTATCCCTTTAATATAAGATTATGTCATTCATCTGTATGCAGCCTTCTCCACATAAATCCTTTGTAAAAATGCTTCACATGTAAGAGGTATGTTCAAACGTTCTCACCCATAGGTTACCTGGTAGGTTTTCATATTCCCTACATACATTATAAAAATCCATGTTCGTACCTGGAAGAATTAAAAATGTAGATGCTTTCCCAAGCGGGTTTTGCATATCCTTGTGTTTTACCAAACAGGTATACTTCTTTGTGAGGTCCTCAGCTGTAGGGATTACTTGGAGCAGAAATGATTTCAGCTTATCCTGGTGGTTTTCCTTAGTTGTTGCTCTGTCACTGCTTTCAACCCGCGTGTTATTCTCTAACCACTCAGCGCTGATATCTGCGGGATTACAGTTCACTACGTCGCAGCAAAGAGTCAGTGGAACTTCATACGTTGGATGACTTGTACCACAGGTAACATTCTTAATAACTGGAATCCCTGTGAGATGAAAATATTTTATGTATTGTGTATTGTATGAAATACTGAATAAAAGTCATGAATTAATGATTGTAGTTTTATAGCAATTTATACACATTTATACATTTTTCCAAGTGCCTTTGCAAATAGACCCCAAAATGTGACTACATTCTCTCCCAGCATTACTCTGCATGATATGTTGTTATTATTATTATTATTTATATAGCGTCAACATATGCCCCAGTGCTTTATAATATTATAAAGGTGGAAGTTTAACACTAAATTACACAATTACAAAATGTTACTGGTTGATGAGGACCCTGCTCGAAATAGTTTACAATTTAAAAGAGTGGGGTGGGGTATAAAAACACAATACAAAGGGCAATGTAATGGATAGCAATTAAGCGACGGGATAGTTGCAAAATTAGAAGGTGAGAGAGGGGTGCGGCCTTTTAAGAGTGAACAAAAGATAGATTTGTGGAATAAAAGTTCCTCTAGGAGGTTACAGGCTATTCTAAAGTGATGTGATTTGAGGGTATGAGCAATGGATAGGAGAAGGTCACCGAAAGAATAGAATGAATAGAAGAAGATGCATAGCTATGAATTAGTGAAGAAATGTAGCGAGGGGTAGAGTTGTTTAGAACTTTATACGTAAGGTTAGTATTTTCAATTCAATGCTATAGGGTACAGGAAGGCAATGTAAAGATTGACAGAGGGGTGAGGTGTGAGAGAAGCGATGCGAGAGAAAAATCCGCCTGGCAGCAGCATGTTAATGCGTTATATATAGTATAAACAATATTAATTAAATGGCATACCTTCTAATTGCAGGCTAAATTTCTTCTCTGTGTTTATTCCACAGTGAAAGAGTCTCATAATAAACTGTGCACTTTGATCTTCCTCTGAAGGTGTAAATCGCAGATTTGTGGTTCTGGAGAATAAGCCAGAAGTTGTGTCTTTTTGGGCACCTTCTGTATCTACTTCATTAGTTAACTCCTTTGAACCCCGGTACCATTTAATGTCACTTTTTTCAGGGTAGAAGTCTCTGATTGTACATGATATAGTGACAGGTTTCCTACAAGCAGGGTTTTCAGGTTGACATTGTATATTGCTTATTTTTGGCCTAGAGACTGAAAGATATAAATGTCAAGGTGGATAAATTAGAAACTTTTACCATAGTTAAAAATCAACAGGTTAAAGAGAAATCCCCAACAATTAGCAAGAAAACATCTAAAAATGTGTGATTGAATAAACTATTGTGAAATGTATCTGTGCCTCAAAGAAGAACATTACAATTCCTCCATTGTGCATACTAAAATTGAATTTAAAAAAAAAAAACGGCACGTAGTTCAAATTTTGAGTTTGTGCTTAAAGGGACATAATCATTAAAGCTTAATGTTGTAGTTCTGTGGCAAAGAGACTGCCCCGGCAGAAATGTAAACGCTGCCTTATGAGACGACAAGGTTTAAGGTAAGTTATAATGCTTTAGTTCACTATTTGGAGGAGGCTCAAATGTAAATATACATTAGATCCCTCTAACATGTTCCTTTAACCAACTTAAAAGTTTAAAATTTGATAACCTGCGTTTGCTAAAATAATGGCAATTTAATCAAACTAGTACTGACATAATTTACATAGGGGCACTCCACTGCCCAAATTAAAAGAGAATCAGTCACTAAGTAGTAGATAGACTCACAATGAAAACATGTATGCATTTGTTTTCATTTGGGTTATATCTAAAACCAGACTTTCTGTGGCTGTCCAATCACAGGCTTCCCTATGCAGCTCAATGAGTAGTCTTTGCAAGGCAGGTGTTCTGGGCAATTGCTGCCTCTTGAGTTTAGCTCCACTGAGATAACCAAACAGTAAGTAACAGGACCAGGGGTCAAGTCCTGGGGAAAAAAGTGTGGGAACTCACCCAAGATTCCCGCCGCTCCCCCCCCTTTAAAAAAAAAAAAATTACACTCCTATGCATATAGTGCAGTGCAGGGTGTGTATAATGAATGTAGTGTGTTTGTAGTGAATGCAGAGTGTGTATAATGAATGCAGTGTGTTTTTAGTGAGTGCAGAGTGTGTACACTGAATGCAGTGTATGTAGTGTGTTTGTAGTGAATGCAGGGTGTGTATAGTGAATGTAGTGTGTAGTGAGTGCAGAATGTGCATAATAAATGCAGAGTGTGTATAGTGAATGCAGAGGGTGTATAGTGAATGTAGTGTGTTTGTAGTGAGTGAAGAGTGTGTATAATGAATGCAGTGTGTGCGTGTGCGCGCTGGATGACGTGTGTGTGAGTGCTGGATGATATGTGTGTGTTTGCTGGATGATGTGTGTGCGAGTGCTGGATGATGTGTGTGCGAGTGCTGGATGATGTGTGTGCGAGTGCTGGATGATGTGTGTGTGTGCGCTGGATGATGTGTGTGTGTGTGCTGGATGATGTGTGTGTGCGATTAGCTGGATGTGTGTGTGTGTGTGTGTGTGCTGGATTATGTGTGTGTGGAGTGCTGGATGAGTGTGTGTGTGTGCTGGATGATGGGTGTTTGTGTGAGTGCTGGATGATGTGTGTGTGTGTGCTGGATGATGTGTGTGTGTGGATGAGTGTGTGTGTGAGTGCTGAATGATGTGTGTGTGTGAGGTGCTGGATGATGGGTGTGTGTGTGCTGGATGATGTGTGTGTGTGCTGGATGATGGGTGTGTGTGTGCTGGATGATGGGTGTGTGGAGTCTCTGGATGATGGGTGTGTGTGTGCTGGATGATGGGTGTGTGAGTGCTGAATGATGTGTGTGTGAGTGCTGAATGTGTGTGTGTGTGTGCTGGATGATGTGTGTGTGAGTGCTGGATGATGGGTGTGTGTGTGTGCTGGATGATGGGTGTGTGTGCTGGATGATGGGTGTGTGTGTGGGTGCTGGATGATGGGTGTGAGTGAGTGCTGGATGATGGGTGTGTGTGTGCTGGATGATGTGTGTGTGTGTGTGTGTGCTGGATGATGGGTGTGTGTGTGCTGGATGATGGGTGTGTGAGTGCTGGATGATGTGTGTGGGGGGGGGGGAGCATTTTTTTCTTACTTTATGTGTATGTATATTTATTTTATTTTATTCCCCCCTCCCTGCTTCTTACCTTGTCAGGGAGGGGGGAGATCGCCTGGTGGTCCGGTGGTATGCTGGAGGGAGCCAGCCGCTGCACAGAGGGGCCATCACACGCAGTGTTCCTTCTCCAGCTCTAACTCTCGCGAGACTCGCCTGTGCGGAGCGTTGCCATGGTAACAGCCGCGGGTCTCGCGAGAGTTATAGCTGGAGAAGGAACACAGCGTGTGACGGCCCCTCAGTGCAGGGAGCAGGGCCGGTGCTGCAGGACAGGTAACGGGAACGGCGTTCCTGCTGTGGAAAAAGTGCAGGAACACCGTTCCCATGCGTTCCTGCAGGACTCGAGCCCTGAATAGGACTGATTGTTTAATTGACAGCCAGGGGGTGTAACAAGGTTAATTTATTTAAACGTTTTTCAAAATAATTTCCATTAAAATCTGCGCTTTTTGTAAAATGAAAAAAAGAGGACTATTCACACATAAAGCATTTCAGCAAGCTAAACTGCTCTAGGGGTCTGGAGTGTCCTTTAAAGAAACACTACAGGAATAACAATCTGAATTCCTGATGCTATAATGTCCCTTTCCCCAACTTATTAGGTCCCCCACACTGTCCGACCTGCTAAAGGTAAACGATCTTGCTTACATTATCTTAATTACAATACTGAGGCACCCTCTACGCTGGCTATGTCTCCTATGTCACCTGCAATGCCACATTAACGCTTTCCCATAGGAAAGCATTGTATCAATGCTTTTTTATGGGGAATTTGAAGATGTTAGATAACTTTATGCAAAGCGTGAGGACGTCCAACGTCATTTCAAGGAGTAAACTTCCTTTATGGAACAGAAATCGCCTCTAGTGGCTGTCTGGTAGAAAGCCACTAGAGTTGGACCAGCCCTGCAATGTAAACATTGTCATATCTCACTGTAATGTTTTACATTGACATGTTAAACATACAAAGGCTCTGCACCCAGACCGTTTCAATTAATCTGGGTGCCTATAGTGTCCCTTCAAGTTTCAGCAAATTCTGAGGCTTTGATTTAGCGCATGCCATAATGGTCGGTTCTACTTATCTATAGATTTTAGAAAAACCCTTCACATGTAACCACACAGCAGTTTGAAAACTGTGAATAACCTAACCTTTCTGGCACCAATTAAGGATCACACAGTAATTATTCATGATACTCACTCAGGTTTTTTAGTGTCCAGCTTTGACTTATGGGGGATTCAAGACTCTTGTGGGCAACTTCACACCGAAATTTCTTCCCAATGTCCTCTATTTGAGGCCTGTATGATACGTTACTGGTAAAGTAAAAGAGTCCACATGAATCAGTAAGTATTTCACTGTTTTTGAATGGGAGGATGGTGTCGCCCATGTACCAGGTAACGGTCAGTGGCCGGTTATAATAGGAATGAATTTGACACGAGAGTTCAATATTATTCTCCAAACACAATGGTCCTTGTGTCTCATCTTGGTAGCTCTGTATTGGATCCAGCACAGGTTTAGCTACAGACAGAAAAAAATTATATAAATATTTGGATGGTGGAAACGGGATTTCTCTGGTTATCACTTATATGAACATGTTAGTGTAATTACTTAACAATATGTGGCAGCGCTTAGTGAATAAAATCTTTTAATAAATCTTTAAATAAACAAAGATGTCACTTGACAATCAAAACATTTAACCCCCTAACCCCTTAAGGACTGAGCCAAATGTACACGTTGTGAACAAAACAAAACGTAAACAAAACCTGGCATTTGCGCTACATGTCTGTCCAACCGTAATTCACCTCTTTCATAGTAAATGCACCCACCCTTATTATATATCATTTTATTCAGGGGAAACAGGGTTTTCATTTAATATCAAATATTTAGGTATGAAACATAATTTAATATGAAAAAAATGGGAGAAAATAAGAAATGTTGTTATTTTGTTAGTTCTACATGACATTTTAACTGTCAATGTCATAATACTGTTTGCTTTTACTGTAATAAGATACACATATTTGTATTCAGCAAAGTCTCACGTGTAAAACAGTACCCCCTATGTACAGGTTTTATGGCGTTTTGGAAAGTTACAGGGTCAAATGTAGCACGTTACATTTGAAATTGAAATTCGCCAGATTGGTTACGTTGCCTTTGGGACTGTATAGTAGCCCAGGAATAAAATTTACACCCATAATGGCATACCATTTGCAATAGTAGACCACCCAAGGTATTGCAAATGGGGTATGTCCAGTCTTTTTTAGTAGCCATTTGGTCACAAACACTGGCCAAAGTTAGCGTTAGTATTTGTTTATGTGTGAAAAATGCAAAAAAACGCCAATTTTGGCCAGTGTTTGTGACTAAGTGGCTACTAAAAAAGACTGGACATACCCCATTTGCAATACCTTGGGTTGTCTACTATTGCAAATGGTATGCCATCATAGAGGTAATTTTCATTCTTGGGCTACCATAGGGTCTCAAAGGCAACGTAACCAATCTGGCGAATTTTAATGTGAAAAAAATGAAACACAAGCCTTATATTTGACGCTGTAACTTTTGAAAACACCATAGAACCTGTACATGAGGGGTACTGTTGTACTCGGGAGACTTCGCTGAACACAAATATTTGTGTTTCAAAACAGTAAAAAGTTTCACGGCAATAATATTGTCCGTGTAAGTGCAGTTTGTGCGTGCAAATCATCGTTGTAATACATTTTACTGTTTTGAAACACTAATATTTGTGTTCAGTGAAGACTCCCGAGTAGAACAGTACCCCCCATGTACAGGTTTTATGGTGTCTTGGAAAGTTATAGGGTTAAATATAGTGCTAGCAAATTAAATTCCCTTTACTTTCGGCATGGGTTGTCAGGCAGGTCCCGCTAATTGTAATGAATTAAGATACCTAATTATGTAAAAATATTACATAAATATATATGTAGAATTAATATATGTGTATATATATACGTATGTGTATATATATATGTATATATATATATATTTTTTAAAATATTTGTATTTATATATAGGTATATATAGTGATATATACATATATATTTATGTTATAGATATATATTATTTCGTTCTACATGTATTTTGATATAAATATATATATATTAATATCACAATACAGTTAGAACGAAATAACACACATTTATATATTTTTAAATTATTTTTAATAATTTTTTGAATTTTATTTTTTCACGTATTTACATTTTTGTAATATTATATATAAGTATATATATATATAACAATAATTATATATATATTTAATCAGTATCAGTCTACGTGTAATTTGATAGATAGATATATATTTATATATATATATATATTAATAGTAAAATACACCTAGACAGTGTATGTGTGTGTATGTATATGTGTATATATATATATACTTAGATCATATATATATATATATATGATCTAAGTATATTATTTTATTTTTTTACACTTATTAACTTTAATTTTATTTTATTTCCAGCCAGCAGGGGGACTAACTGTCATTACAGGCAGTCCCCCTGCTGGCAATGCAGCAGGCAGCTAACCCGGCCATGTGACTGTGAGGTCCTCGCAAGGACCTCACTCTCACATGGCCGGGGGGGGGCTGCAGGAGGAAGGATCTGCCACGGGGGACTCACATAAAGGGCCATTGGCACACAGAGGGCTGAAGATGGGGAAGAGGCACACAGAGTTATGGGGTGGAGAGACTTACAGCTGGCTTAAAGGGGAGAGAAGCACCAAGGGCTGGCGGGTGGAGAAGCACCAAGAGCTGGGGGGAGAGGCACACAGAAGGCTGGAGGGGGGGGAGAGGTGCAAAAAGGCATGTGGTGGAAGAGGTTTACATAGGGGCTGGGGGTACATAGAGAGATAGAGTGGTGGGGGGGCAAAGACACATACAGAGGGGCTGGGAAGAGAAAAACACACAATGGGGCTTGGGGAAAAGACACACAAAGGGGCTGGGAGAAAAAATAGACACACAAAGTTGGCAATTTTTGTTTTTTGAAGGGGGGTTGCAAGTAGCTGGTCTTGCCTAGGGCACAAAATAGTCTTGCACTGGTCCTGTTTGCCCTGGCTCTGCTCTGCTCATGCACAATGGTTTTAGGGTAAGGGTTTGAACCATCTGGGCACAAAGAGTGCTGCCTATTAGCATGTAGAGTTCATATGTGTCTAAAAAAATAAAAAGCACAAAATCCATGTTATTTTGAACTAACTACTTTTCCTCTGGCAATGAATGCGACATCTAGCTGGGCAGAACTCTATTCCTGTCAGGACTTACCTGTCAAATCCTCTTCGGCTCCATTCTGACAACTGTGTTGCCACTGTATCTGCTACAATTGCTTTTGCTTTCATCTAATTGCTTCCAACATCCAGGGATCCTTAAAGCTACAGTAATTGTGCTTACTTACAGGACTTTTTTTCCCTACCATTAGTTCCACGCTATTAAAATAAAGGAATTTTCTAATCTGCAGTTGTGTTCCACATCTATTCAACTTGTGACATAACAATTCCCTGCCTCACACATAAGGGATTTCTCTGGGTCTAGAATAATGTTTAGTTGGGTACCTGAGAGCAATTTGGACACTGTGAGTTTTTATAAAGAACTGAAAGTAATAATACTCAATATTACTATGTCATATGACATTACCATATTTCAGGTCCACTTGGATTAGCATATACCTTTGAAATAAAGAGGGCATATATATACAGCTGAAATATAATAAACTGGAAGTTAGTACTGTGTTCCATTAAGGAAAATAGTGAACATTCATTAGTTCAAGAAATTCTAAGAAAGGATTTGCCTAATTGACCTAAGGCATTTCTAGTTTAGTGATAGTTAAATGATTAGTTTGATTTAAAGATCTTTATTATAATATCATGGTAACGCACCTGAAACCTCCATATCCACGCTTTTTTCTATAAATTTGCCCGTCGAAGGGTGAAAGATCCTACAGATATATTTTGCACCGTGATCTTCTTTTATGGTGGGCTTCATGGTCAGAGTACTTAGAATGCTGTACGTGTGGTCATCATCACTGGCCGTTTCAAGTTGTTTGTGAGAATATTTGGCAACTTGTATTTGCTGTCCATCCTGATCAGAAGACATAAGTTCCGTCATGTGACCGGTGCCATCAGCTGCATCCACTTTCAACCACTTGACATTCAACGGTCGTGGTTTAAACCCATTGATGGCACAGGTGAGGGTCAGATAATCTTCGTGGATTATATGCAGAGGAGCCACGATTTCAGATAACTTTGGAGAAACTAAAGAATTATAAGCACAGATATACATTTACAGTGATCATTGACAAACTACTTAAAGACAAAACTATTAACCATATTTTTCTCCTCTGTTTGTGGCTTTACAAAGAATTCAGTTTGTATAGGCTATGATGGTTTCGACAATTCCTGCTTTAGTAAAATACCCCAAACATCTAAAAACTGAAAAGCATTTAAAAAAGTGTTACAGTTTTTTAAGATATATCAGCTTTTCTCAAATATTTTAAAGGGACACTGTAGTCACCATGAAAACTTCAGCTTACGGAATCGGTTTTTGTATATAGATCATGCCTCTGATGTTTCACTGCTCAATTCACTGCCATTTAGGAGTTAAATCATTTTTGTTTCTGTATATGCAGCCCTAGACACACCTTCCCTGGCTGTGACTGACACAGCCTGCATGAAAACAAAATGGTTTCATTTTAAATTAGATGTAACTTAATTTAACCCCTTAGGGACCAAACTTCTGGAATAAAAGGGAATCATGATATGTCACACATGTCATGTGTCCTTAAGGAGTTAAAAATTTGTATCTCCTGCTCTGTAAATTGATCTTTAATTACATACAGGGGGTACCTGCAGCGTCTAGCAAGCTGTTAGCAGAACAGGAGATAAGAAATGCTAAATTAAACAGAATTTACAATACAGGACGTGTAAATATTAGATGACTCTTTACAGGAAGTGTTTAGGAAGGCTGTGTACATCACATGCTGGGAGGTATGACAAGGGCTGCATAAACAATGTGATTTAAATCCTAGAGGATTAAACGACCACTATAGGCACCCAGACCACTTCAGCTTAATGAAGTGGCCTGGGTGCCTGGTCCAGCTAGGATTAACCCTTTTTTTTTTTTATAAACATAGCAGTTTCAAAGAAACTGCTATGTTTACACTGAGGGTTAATCCAGCCTCTAAAGCCTCTAGTGGCTGTCTCATTGACAGCCGCTAGAGGCGTTTGCGTGCTTCTCACTGTGAAAATCACAGTGAGAAGACGCCAGCGTCCATAGGAAAGCATTGTAAATCAAAATGATAAAACCCTAGTGGTGAAACGCGTTAATGGTTTTAATATTGTGTATTTTACATAATAATTACATTCTTACACACTATTTTATTTTCCTGGCATTTTATTCATTTTTTTTACCTATCCTGAGGTGGGGATTATACCACCAATGCTACTACTAAAGTGCAGTGACGCCTGCACTCCATTTTTGGACATCATTATATTCTGGAGGACAAGCATCCACATATCCTATAAGCAGGGATCATTCCGCCGTATGCCTGTTACACCTGAGCTGGCCATAGCTCATTTAAATGTGAGTGTTCCATTTATATTCTAATCTATTTAACATTCACCTTATACACTCTGCACGATTGGTCCTTTCTCCTTGTGTCTTCCATATCACGAGACGATTTGAACTACTAGAAACATAGAGGACACTCTACCAGCAAATACAGAGACCAAGTCTATCTAACCTCAGACATTCCATTGGCCTATTTATATTTTTTATCTTTTGCTGTATTTTTATACTTTAAGTATTTTTTATCATGGTGCAGCCTTTATTTTTCCTTGTTGCACATTTCCTATGAGACTGACTGAATGCGCGCACAGCTCCTGCCGCGCATGCGCATTCAGCCGATGACGTCGCTAGGAAGAAGGAGAGAAGGAGGAAAGCTCCCTTGCCCGGCGCTGGAGAAAGTTAAGATTTTAAACCCTTCCTCTCCCCAGAGCCCGGTCGGAGGAGGTCCCTGAGGGTGGGGGCACCCTCAGGGCACTATAGTGCCAGGAAAACAAGTATGTTTTCCTGGCACTATAGTGGTCCTTTAAGCAGTAAGACTGCAGGACCATGATTATACACCAAAACTGCTTAATTAAGCTAGCTTTGTTTTGGTGACCATAGTGTCCCTTTAACAATTTTGTCGAAGATGACTTGATTGACAAGCTCTACCTACTGTTACATATCTGAAAAACTGTTTATTTATTAAAGTAGATCAATAGATGATTCATGCTTACCTCCATTCACCTTCAATATACAGTCTATGGATTGCGGTGTTTTCAGAGATGCATGTTTGACTTGCAGCAACAGACGCGCATTATTATCTTCATCTATGTCTGGAGTTAAATGAATGGAACACTGGCAGCTTGAGGTACGGTCCGTTTTATTTGATTTCATGTTGGCAATTAGTTCTAGCTCTATTGTTCTCTTGGGCATTAGAACAGTGTTGCCATTACTGAGCCCATCTTCGTGTCCTACCACAGAAACCAGTTGGTAATCTCCCTGGATAATGTTTGTTTTTGGTGCTGTATTATTTCCATTGCTGAGTTGCTCCCCTGATTTCCACTGGCCCACCATCACTAGGCTTCCCCCTACCCTTTCCAGATATACAGAAATCTCAATTGCGCTTGGTCGGAAATTTGTGATTTGACATGATAAAGTCGCTCTATTCTTATGAACAAGAGTTTCATTTCCAGTAATGTTTGAAAGCACTGGTGGCACTGTGAAAATACATGAACATAATCATTATTATATGTACACATAGATGGGGAAAATGCACTAAGGGTGTCTAATCTGTTTATCAAAATGCTTAAACTGGACTTTTTATGGTATAAATGAAAATTAAATTTTTTACTAAAAACCTCTGATATTTAAATGTCTACAGGGATTTCAGATATTTTACTTTTGTTTATATATTTGGGCTGATGAAAACTATAGCCAATGCTGCCGCCCAAGAGTAGTATGAGTTTGAGCCGAGGGCTTAACTCTGTGTGTTTATATATGTTTTTTAACTTATCACAATTTGATGTTTAGTGATTTTATAAGGGTACTAAATGTTATTAGTTGGTTTTTTTTACACACTATTTTGTATCTCCAGAAATCATTTACTGTATTCAAGTCAATCAACTCACTATGGAACTAAAACATCTCTGGTTTATACTATAGTTTATTCTTTACTTATTTACTCCGTATACTTTAAAACAATCAAACAATGTAGTTACCAACTTGCATCTTACCTTTCCTAAAAAAAATATACCATACCGCCAGAAACATACATACAAGGAGTAGTACTGTAACACTGATCGCCACAGCGGTGATGTTGGTCTTTTCCATTTCTGAAAGAATAAAATGTAAAATTATATTAGAGAATTAATATTTAGAATTTATTTTTCTATATGAAATTCGAATACAAAAGAAGAACTTCCAGTTAATATGTTAAAACGTACCAGCTACTGGTAGGAATTACTGTTCAACTAATGATTGCTTTCAAGCCTCAATTTAATACAGCTAATCCTTCAATTTATTTTATTTTATTTATTTTACTTAATTTTGTTTTATTCTGTAAAAATATCAGAGTGTAACTATGAACCAGCATTAAATTTCTATTTACTTTACACATTAAAAAGACTGTACTGTCTGTTCATCTATATATATAATGTCATCCATTAAAGGTCCGTTGATATTCCTATCGTTTATAAGTGATACTCATACATTAATTTATAACATTCCTATGTGCATGGGAATCTAGAGATTTTTCTGTTATTATACTAAGGTTATTACTTTATAACCTTAGTATACCATGTAGATTCTTCCACATTTAATACATGGATACTTTGTGATCATACAATTGATTGTCCTCTCTCGGATTATATTCTGATCCACTTATTGCATAGTTACACGTTTGTCACACCACTGGTAGCTTTGTGAGGACATGTTAGCAACGGAAAAGCATTGACTTGCGTGTGGTATATTGATATGCCATCTTTGGAACTAACGGTGTTTTTACTTGGAAATGGCTTACAGTATTGCCATCTGCACAAGGCATATGTATTCATTTACTTTTTTGTCACCTACTCATGAATGTATACTGGCTTGAATCTGTTTATTCATTTATTATATTACCAATTTATTCATGAGTAGTGTTTCATTATTATTTAATCTGCAGTGATATCTTACTTTAAGAAATTATTTCATTTATTTATTATTAGTTTTTTCCTTTTTTTTGGCATCTTTCCGGTTACTTTATAAGATCTTTTTCAGGAGTGGGTGGAAGTGTACTGCAGGGTTATCTAGGGGTAAGGGGCGCCCTCGAAGGCACAGTAGGGACAGTTACTTTGCTAATCCCTTTCCCTCACCCCACCATGATATATATGCTTGATAAATTATAGGAATCCTTACCTTCAGTATTACATATATCTAACAGCCATCGGTAGCTGATAGTGGTGTTTGCTACTTTTTGGTTACATTCCTATATCCATTTAGATATTTAGTTGCCAATAAGTAAGTTCTATCACTGCTGACCACCTAGCAAGTATTCACTATCATTTTTGTCAGTTAACATACTGTTATCTAACAGTTTATTGACATATTTGTTAGTGATTTTCACTAAATCTTTTCTAGGGTCATTTACAAGATATATATTTTTTAGCAGTGTGGACCAGCCTCTGTCAATTTTAATTGTATGTTTTTTTTTTGTGTTCATAGTACTATTATCTGTGTGTTGTAGTGGAATTTTTTTGTTTTATGAGACATTTTTAGGAATTTATAATTAAAAGTTATGTTTTATTTACACCTTTTTTCCTAGTATTCCATTGTTTATATATATATATATATATATATATATATATATATATATATTGTATCCTCTGCTTCTTTTCTTTTTTCATTTTGTCTACAGGGGTTATCCCCCATTTAAGAGGCGTACACAGGCATTATTATATTTCTTCTTTCCCTCTTATTTTTCTTTCAGCAGTATATTGTGTCACTTGTATGTCTAAATCTATTCATGGTAGAAGCTGCATGGTCTTTCAATAATTTACAGCATTTAATCATTTGCCTGAGGCATTAGTCATCAGCCAACACAGCTTTCTACCACCTGAGATGATTTGTTTAATATCTTAACTTTACTGTCATTTCCAGGTCTGTTCAATAATAGATTTGTGCAACAATTAGTTTTGGCTGGTTTGTCCGAAGCAAATTCCTTCTAATCCCCACCTGAGCAAATCGATCAATCCATAATTTACCTGTGAAGTCTTATTAAATTAATAAAATTGGAGGGGCGTGTCCAACTTCCGGCAAGATCGGTCGCATGGAGTAGGAGCTCCGCACCACCCGGACCAGATTTAACACTATTAAAGAGGAAATCTCGCCGGATTACCTTGTCCCAGCGGGGGGCAAAGGCTACACGGCTTCTAATGTCTCCCTCGAAGCAGACAAAACTCACGGACGCGGTCCGCCACCACAAGAGGGAAAAGCTGAAACAGGCCCAAGATGGCGCCGCCAGCAGAGCTCAGTCTCTGGACCCTGACCCTTGCACCGAGTCGCCCACGCATTCACAATCAGACGACTCACAATTCTCAAAAGAATATCTGAGACAAGCGCTCGCGGACCTCAGGTCCACCATTAAGGAGGACTTCACCACCTCCTTGGCGGGCATTCATCAAGAGCTAGAGGAATTGGGTGACCGGACCGATCAGGTCGAACGGAAAACTGACGATCTCTCCTCTGCCCAAAACCTGATGGCGGACAGACTACAGAAACTAGAGGAAGATAACACCAAATTATGGCACAAAATGGCGGACATGGAGGACCGCTCCCGCAGGAACAACGTGCGGTTCCGGGGAGTAGCAGAGTCCGTCACAACAGACCAGATCTCGGCCTACATTATCGCATTAAGCACAACGCTGGTCCCTGACCTCTCCGGTGTTACCTGGGAACTGGACAGAGCCCACCGGGTTCCAAAACCGCCCAGATTCGGCGCGGACGTCCCGCGCGACATTATCGTGCGCTATCATCACTTTAAAGCCAAGGAGGCTCTTCTTAAGGCCGCCAGAGCCCAATCCCCATTGCCCGACCCATATAATGCTGTCTCTATTTTTGCGGACCTATCGGCCCTCACTATGGCAAGACGCAGAGAATTCTCCTCCATTACCAAAACCCTACGCAACCACAACCAGGCTTACCGCTGGGGATTTCCTACGAGACTGCTGGTCTGGCGGCAGAATAAGCTCCACATTATAGATGACCCCTCGAAAGGGCTCACCATGCTGAAACAATGGGGTCTTTGGGGCCAGCAAGAAACCACCCACCTACAACCAGACGCCTCGACCACCCCGAAGAGGTCCCAGCCAGACTGGCAGATGGTTGGCGCTCGGCGCTAATGGCCACCCCATCTAGGACAGCGTCTCCCTGCCTCTACTCCTTGACGTATTCTACAGCCGCGAAAGAAGACACCATGCTGCTTGCCGATGCCCTCGCCCAACTCGGACACTAACCACTTACCCCTGAACTGTCTCCAGCAGGCTTCTGCCACACGCATGGACTCTGCGATAATATACCAATAAGGGCCATAGACCCCAGTTGCTTCGAGTGGTATCGTATGAACATACACGGTGGCAAAATGTTTAATGTGGGTGTAGGGTGGGAGGGCATGAATAGTTCACAAGTTAAAAGGAAAAAAAAACAAAAAAAAAAAAAAAAACGTTTTTATAGTATCCACTAAGTATTGCTTATATTCATGAGGGGAGGTCATGCTTGTTTCACTGCTTCATCTGAGGAATGTTTGGCAAGGGAGTGACCCCCCCGGTAAATTGCTCTATTACAATGTTAGTTCTTCCCTACGGATGAGTTTAGGCTTCCATGTGTTCCATTTTATCCCTCCTGCACTTTAGCAGGCCCCAAGGCTAGGTCTCCTAAGGCCCCCCCTCCCCTCGGAGCGTTAAGCACACACATGGTTAAATGGTCGCATCCTGAGACTTATGATTATAACCTTAGATACTCTACCGACCATGCTCAGCTCAACGGAGGGAAAAATAAAATAAAGTATAAAATAAATAAATAAATAAATAAATTTAAAAAAATAATAATAATAAAAAAAAAAAAAAAACTCATCCATCAGTTAGCCACAGTACTCCCGGTTAAGTTACTATAAATCCGTTACCCTTCTCCCCTATATTGCCTCAGTGATTTAGAGAGGGCATAGGTGAGAATGCTGTCCAGATTTCAGCCCCTCCCGCGCATATTCTCCTCTCCATTCCTACCTACTTTGAGAATCTGGTCCGGGTGCGGTCCTGTTCCGCACGACCCCCCAAGGGTATCCGAGGTGCCTAGAGCTTTAGGCTCCCCTCTGGATCCCAGTATTTTCTCTCATCTCAGAGAGTTAATGTATATACCTTTGTTTGTTGATTTTGTCTTTCCTGTTATTTCCCCTCCCATCCCCTTGGCAGCTAAGTTGACCCATATCTGTGCAGGACGTAATCAGTCATCTGATCTTCCCTTATTCTACACTACGCACCACCTAGCCACAGGCTCCATGTCTGTCGCTGGCAAACAGCATGCTGTGACTAACAAGCTCTATTATATATCCCTTTAAGATGATGTACCAATTTAAATGTCTCTCTATGAATGTTAACGGCCTAAATAGCCCATTTAAAAGGAGCTCTGTGATTAAGACCATTCATACTTCCCAGGCAGCCATAGTCTGCCTCCAGGAAACGCACATGTGCAAAAGAAACCCCCCCAAGTTAAGCTCATCCAGGTATCAGCAGGTATTTCATGCCCTTGCCCCAAACAAAACGAGAGGAGTGGCAATTCTGTTCCATATTGACTGGGTCTTCCATCTTGACAACACTTATGTAGACGAGCTGGGCAGGCTCCTTATAGTGGTAGGCTCTTTGAATGGAATGCAACTTACGATCGCTTCCATATATGCACCCAACAACTCCCAAATTTCCTTCATCAGAAGAGCTTTAAACAAAATCTCTACTATCCGCGTGGGGCATACTATTATCTGTGGCGATCTCAATTGCACGCTAGACCCCGACCTAGACATTAAGCGAATAGCAAACAAACAACCCCTCCAACTTGCTAACACAATGAGCGCAACCCTTAACACGCTGCTCCACAGGCACGACCTTTACGATTCGTGGCGTACCCTCTATCCGAAAGAACGAAACTACACATATTTCTCACGAGTCCATCACACATACTCTCGTATAGATATGTGCTGGGTAGATAAAAATACGGTACCCAATATAATAGAAGTGCAAATAGGTGACCGGACTTGGTCCGACCACGCGCCGGTAACCACTACTTTTAGGGCCCTGTTCCCGTCA